ATATATAAACTACCCATGATTCTTTACAATTTTATTAATTTCCATGACTTTCCCAGGCCTGAAAAGCACATTGTTTCCAGGCTTTCCATAACCATGGTATCCCTGAAAGACACTTTGGCTTTCAAGCACGTTTACTTAGCGTGTCGCTCTTTATTGACGGAGTACAAATTCACGCCCCGCTGGCATTAAAGTTAGGAGGAGGAGCAGATTGCAGTTTACATATTTGAAACTGTTGAAGCCGCTAACGTAAAAAAAGGAAATCCTACACTACATAACAACACAGAAGTGGAAGATGTCTGCGTGCATTTCTTTGACTCGCAGCGCTGTTGCTTTCCGCAACAGTAGGACGTTGGTGGTAAGTTGTTTACGAATTCTGACCTGTCAGCATCTTAATGCGTGTGTAAGGTGATTATATGAAGATGTGTGAGACCTTCGTGATTTATAAGGAAGTTCTCGTTTGGAAACGTACCAAGTGTGACTGGTTCATTAGGCTGAGCTGGTTAACTGACAGATCCAGGTTAACCGGTTTAGTCATGTTACTTAACCGCTGTTGCGCAGCGTATAAAAACGTCGGCTTCATCAGATTGCATAATTGTAACTTTTTTTCTAATTAAACTGATCTTCTAGTATGGAAGAGTGATATTTGAACTCAACTGTACGTTACATAACTTACCAATGTGAGTTGAGTAACAAGAGCTGCGTCCGAAATCGCATACTTCCATACTATATAGTAGGCGAAAAACAGTATGCGAGGCGAGTAGTATGTCCGAATTCATAGTATTCGAAAAACAGTAGGCGAGAAGTACCCGGATGACCTACTACTTCCGCCCGAATTCCGTAGCATGCATATGATGGACACTTTACTATCCCATGAGGCCACGGGAGAGGAGGCGTCAGTAACTCCCGCACACTTCTCTATTGCACCTAGAGGTGGCGCTGTGAAAAGGCAATCGCTAATTCCAGTTCTTTCTTTTTTTCAGACCAAAGACCACTTGGATAAAAAGACATTGGCATATTTATGCATTTACTTAGTTGACAAAGCCATGAAAATAATATAGATCTGTTTTACTTTTACCAAATATATTTTAAGGTTGGAGGGATGCAATATTTTTTATTTATGTAATGTCTGTAAACTCAGCATTTAGCATCACATGTCTTATGTTGAACTTTCCTCTCACTACCCCAGCTGGTACGATATGCCCAGACAGCAGCTGCCCCTGCCCCTGAGCCAAAAATAAAGAGATTTCAGATTTACAGATGGGACCCTGACACACCTGGTGACAAGCCCCGCATGCAAACCTATGAGATTGATTTGAACACGTAAGCACCAATATTTACACTGAAGTTATAGTCATAACAGTTGCTTTACTGGTTTTGCTTTACTTGAAGGAACACTAAGTAAATAAATAAATAAATTTTGTCATAATTTATTTGTTGTCATGTGTTCCATATCCAAATGCTATTATTTATTAAGAATTAAATATCACAAAATTGTAATGACACTTTTTCTTCCTAGATGTGGTCCAATGGTTCTTGATGCTCTCATCAAAATTAAAAATGAAATGGACCCGACACTCACCTTCAGACGCTCATGTAGAGAGGGTAAAAAAAACTAAAAAGGAATTAAGAATAAATACATTTTACGCCTTTGAGCACAAAATGAAATAAATTCTGTGTCCTGTTAAAGAGAAGTCAACCCAAAAATGAAAATTTGTTGAAAATGGATTCAACCTCAGGCCGTTCAAGATTTAGATGAGTTTGTTTTTTCAACAGAACAGATTTGGAGAAATTTAACATTAGCCTACATCACTTGCTCACCAGTGGATCCTCTGCTGTGAATGGGTGCCGTCAGAATGAGAGTCCAAACAGCTGATAAAAACATCACAATAGTCCACAAGTAATCAACATGACTCCAGTCTATCAATTAATGCCTTTAAAGTGAAAAGCTGTATGTTTGAACTTTCATTCTGACAGCCCCCATTCACTGCAGAGGGAAGTGAAATATGCTCTGATGAATAAACAAACTCATCTACTTCTTCATCTACATTTTTAGCAAATTTAAATTTTGGGTGAACTATTCTGTTAATATGTAACATCATGTTATGAAATATCTATAATTTTACAGGTATCTGTGGCTCATGTGCTATGAACATCAACGGAGGCAACACTTTAGCCTGCTTAAACAAAATAGATACAAATACCAGCAAAGTGACGAAGATTTACCCCCTGCCTCACATGTATGTTGTGAAAGATCTTGTCCCTGTGAGTAAACTGAAAATCCCAGCAACAACATATGATAATATGAGTATTTATTTGCAGAGGCGGACAAAGTACTCAACTCCATTACTTGAGTGAAAGTACAGATACTGCTGGTCAAATATTACTCCATTACAAGTAAAAGTTGTAAAGACAGATTTTTACTTAAGTAAAAGTACAGAAGTACTTGCTTTTAAAAGTACTTGAGTACCAAAAGTAAATTTCCTTTTTTATGTCAATGCACTGTTTTATTGTTGTATGTAATACTTGCAATACTTCTGAAGCAACTTACAATACATTACACCTACTGAATACACTGACTAGCTTGTAGTATCTTTGGAATAAAGAGCTTTTAGAATGTTAAAAACCTATGGGGAAAAAAACTAAACATAAATAAATAAATAAATAAAAAGCAGGATGGTAGTGATCTCACAAAGCTCTGACAGTGTGTGCACACATCTATGTGTAGCCATTCATCCACATTTGAACAGAGTGGACAGTGAAATCCTGTAAATACAGAGTGATAAGAAAGAAAAAAAAATTTGCAG